ATTTACTTCGTACGTTATTTTTAATAGATATATTTTGAGTTTTTATGTATTTTTGCCTTCTCGCGAAGTGAGAACTGAATTAATTGAATGAGAAATACTCAATCGTCTGTGAAAAACTGTTTCTTTTTTGTTTTGTTTGCTTAATTTTTTTATACATCATTCTAGCTTTATTATAGTATTTGAATAGAACATGTGGCAACGATTAGATAATTCTATTCTTTAAATGATATAAATTTTGTGCATTATGAGTTACAATAAGATCGAAATATAATACTGTTAAGTGAATCTAGGCCAGAGTGTCACTATGGTAAACAAATACTATAGTGAATTTTTAAGAATGCATTTATTCTATTGTGGTTTATGCGCTGTCGGCGAAGAAGATTTAATTGAATCGAATAAGTTTAAATGAAGTGCAAGAAAAAATGCGTATAATTTAATATTCCGTACAAGGAAGTCATGTGGTGTACACATCAGATTTTTTATTAAAGGCTTCACCGATGATTCCAGTAATTCTTGTAACTTGTTGGGTGGTGCTAAATCCATGCTACTTAATAATATTATTGCCTTCAGCGAATTTAGTGAGCCTATTGATGACTAATCTTTCAAACAGCTTGCCATCAGCTGAAAGTAAACTGATGGGTCTGTAATCTGAAGTTGAAGATCCCTTTTTCCCAGGTTTCTTCAAGACAATTATTATCGGAATATTATAACTCAGAATGCACAAAATTTATATCATTTAAAGAATTATCTAATCGTTGCCACATGTTCGATTCAAATACTATAATAAAGCTAGAACGATGTATTAAGCAAACAAAACAACAAAGAAACTTTCCACAGACGATTGACTATTTCTCATTCAATTAATTCAGTTCTCACTTCGCGACAAGGCAAAAATACATAAAAACTCAAAATATCTGTATTAAAAATTACGACGTAAATCTTAAACACTTATTTCCTCGAAAACATTCCAGAATGGATTAAGCATGATTTAATTCGCAATAATAAATGAAGGCGCTATCTTTGTTGTTGCGAAGCTAGGTTTCTCTAGATTGGCAACAAATTCATTAGTATGCTGTTTCAAATGTAAACAATCAATGGCCGCCATAAAAAAAAAGGCTTAGCGGCACTTAAACAACTTTAAATTGTTGATAATTCTAAAAATATTGCATACCGATTTACTAAAGGCAGAAAAACCTTAACCAGAAGATAAAAACAACACAATTCAATCATTTTTAAAATAAACAATGTACAATTTACAATCATATAAGAGTAAAGAAACTGAGATCACTGAGCCGGGTAGCAGAGTGGATATATATATAAATATATTTATATACGTGTAAGGATTATGTTAATTTTATTAACAGTTAAATTTTAAGTTCCTTTCCTGTCAAATTCTTAACTTCAACTGACTACTTCCGGCCAGAACGTAGTTTTGGGATCTTGCTGAATATTTAATGAGGAGGAGCGGTATTTAAACCACGAAATTACTTACTGAGTCAGAGAGAATCAGAGTTTCTGATTTACGCGCGTCTGCATTTTTGTCCACTCTTTCTCTCAAAGCTGTTATTACGCTCGGCCATATTCAGTCCCTTGCTAAGCTTCGTAGTCAAATAAGTTAAGTGGCCAGCTCAATTTGAACCTTGATAGCTTCTGGTATACTTCTTTAGTTAATCTTAGTTTTAGTTTAATTCTTAGTCTTTTAAGTTCAAGTCCAAGTGCGGGCTTTGCTTGTACACTCCCAGGCGGAGTTTTGTTAAATCTTATTGGAATAATAAAGAGTTAGTTACGTTTCTATCTTGTTGTTTCTTGTCACCGAGCGCAAGCGATTATTCGCTTATCAGTTCTTAGATTCTTAACTTCCAACATTAACTTAGAATTCCAAAGTGAGGAAATCTACATACGTTTAGTGCGGCCGATTGCAACTAAAATACGAGGTGCTCACCTACATGTTATAGCAGTCCTATATACAAAATTTCAACGTTCTGAGGCTACTCGTTTTTGAGTTGTGCGAGATACGTACGTACGTATATACGTTCGTACAGACGCCACGAAAAATTCTCTTTAGAATTCATTTTAAAGCAGTTTTATAATTTTTTTTTTTTTTTTTTTTTGGAGCGAAAGAGTCTTTTATTCTGCTCTTACGTACAGATATCACGTAAAAACATCCTTAAATTGCATTCGATAGCGGTCAAAATGCATATTTTCGTTGAAATATGCTGCCTGAAACTTTTCGCGTATACAATACTTCCTTTTTACTTCGTACAAGGAAGTAAAAATATCTGATGTGTACATCACATGACTTCCTTGTACGGAATATTAAATTATACGCATTTTTTCTTGCATTTAGTTTAAACTTATTGGATTGAATTAAATCTACTTCGCCGACAGCGCGTAAACCACAATAGAATAAATCCATTCTTTAAAATTCACTCTATTTGGTTACCATAGCGACACTCTGGCGCTAGGTTCACTTAACAGTATTATATTTCGTTCATATTATAATCATGTCTATGTGTATGTCATAGCACAATTAAGAGACAATCAGCCTAGTGCGGGCTTTACCAATATATTATAAGTAGGGTGTCTTTAATGATGAGTTGAATCCAGTAAGATGGAACGTACTTTTTGCACCTAGTGCAGAGTCTCTAGAAGAGAAGTAAACGTGGCCCCACGATGTGAGGATCTGCAGCTTGAGGATTTCTGCCGCTCGGCTATGCTTGTCTTGAGAGAAGCTGCGAATTAATCTTGATCTGCAAAGTTCAAAATCATCTCAATGGCTTGAAAAGCTAGGCAAAGTTTCTGCATATTTGATTTAGCTGATTTAATTCTCTGAACTATTGTGGTTATTGATTTCATGAGATAAAGGGTTTTCTGATCTTTGAAAATGTTAATGATTTCTGCTAAATTTTCCTGCGGGTTTTTCTGCTTAACTTTGTCACTGTAAAGGTTTTTAGGCATTTCTTGATTAGTTTGGCCTGAAGCTTGAATGAATTCGGGGAAGTCATCTTTAGTGGGAATTTCTTGTGGTTTTTCTATCTTCTCTAAATGATTGAATCTTTTTCTGTATACCTTACAACCACGATAAGAAGAAACGTGATTTTCGTGACAGTAAATGCAAGTTGGTTTTTTATCTGGTTTTAATTTACAGGTATTGGATCTGTGATTCTGTCCGTACTTACAGCACCTGACCTTTTTAAAGCAGTTTCATATTATAACTCAGAATGCACAAAATTTATATCATTTAAAGAATTATCCAATCGTTGCCACATGTTCTATTCAAATACTGTAATAAAGCTAGAACGATATATAAAAGAAATTAAGCAAACAAACAAAAAAGAAACAGTTTTTTCACAGACGATTGAGTATTTCTCATTCAATTAATTCAATTCTCACTTCGCGACAAGGCAAAAATACATAAAAACTCAAAATATCTGTATTGAAAATGACGAAGTAAATCTTACACTTATTTCCTCGAAAAAATTCCAGAAAGGATTAAGCATGATTTAATTCGCTATAATGAATGAAGGCGTTATTTTTGTTGTTGCGAAGCTACGTTTCTCTGGATTGGCAACAAATCCATCCGAACTCTCCGAATCGTATTTATATAGCATAAACATGAGAACAGGTCTGGTGCAGTACTGGCTTGTGGAAGGTTCGCGAAAAGCCTGTCGCTAAGGGCCGTGAGGAGTATGGTTGCTCATATCGCGCTTTCTACTTCAGCCTTTTCTCAAATTTAGACATTACTGGACTAAGAATTCTTTGTAAAAAAATTATATATAAACAGGTGGCTATAAATGCAAAATAAACCCTAAGGGCACTTCAAATGTAAACAAGCAATGGCCGCCATCAAAAAAATTATTAGGCTTAGTGGCACTTAAACAACTTTAAAATTGTTGATAATTCTAAAAGTACTGCATACAGATTTACTAAAGGCATAAAAACCTTAACCGGAAGATAAGAACAGCATAATTCAATCGCTTTTAAAGCAAAAAATGTACAATTTACAAACATATAAGAGTAAAGAAACTGAGATCACTGAGCCGGGTAACAGAGTGGATATATATATAAATATATTTATATACGTTTGGTGCAGCCGATAGCAACCAAAGTACGAGGTGCACATCTACGTGTTATATCAGTCCCTATATACAAAATTTCAACGTTCTGAGACTACTTTTTTTGAGTTATGCGAGATACATACATACGTTCGTACAGACGCCACGAAAAATTCTCTTCAGAATTAATTTTAAAGCAGTTTTATAATTTTTTTTTTTTTTTTTTTTTTTGGAGGAAAAGTCCTTACGTGTCCTTACGTACAGATATCACGCAAAAACATCGTTAAATTGTATTCGAAAGCGGTCAAAATGGATATTTCCGTTGAAATATGCTGCCTGAAACTTTTCGCGATTACAATACTTCCTTTTTACTTCGTACAAGGAAGTAAAAAAGCACATCCTTAATCCTAATGTTGGGAGATGAAAGCAACATAATACGAAATTCCCAACGTATCATCGTATTTCTGAATTTCAACAACTGCGCATGTTGGCTTTCCTGATGTTCTTTTTCATAAGAAATCTTCTTTTTAGGATACTTTCAAATAAATTCGTAATCAATAGATTATAATTAGATTTTATACGTTATTGCTTTGAACTATGTAAATCGTATTTCCAGTTTGAATTGTGTCTATTGTATGAGTTTTGTAAAAGAGACCTTACTTAACAGCAGTTTCATAAAAGGTGAGTTCATGATTTTTTGTCAAAGTAATTCAAGTATTACTTTTGAAATTACAATTAATCTATTATAATAACCAGTTTTTAAAAATAATTATTGCCATTGTTATATTTATTTCATGACGCATCAAATATCGTTTGTGAGAAAGTTCCGAACATTTACCCTTTGATCGGCGCATGGTAAATAAGATAATTCTTTCCGTTAAGCTCATTCTGTTCTCGCTGACTCTAGTTATTCGACAACAAAAGATTTCCTTTCTGGTATTGCAGGAGGAAAAAAGAATATTGTTCAGGGCGGCTGAAATCCAAATCACTCAGCTACTGTTTTGTGCATCTCCCCCTGTTTCTGTACTGGTTAAAAATCACTCTCATCTTTCTTCCTATTCTTAAAAGAGGTGAGAACGAAAATTTCTTTCATTTGACTTTTCATATAATAATTTAAAGAAGTTATGAAATTTTTATATTGATCACATTCGGCTGCTTTTAATGTTGAATTGTTACAATGTGCATATTATTTGAATAAAAGTTAGGGTGAAACAGAGTTTTATTTAAATACTGAGGACGCATTTATGTTACTTAAAGAATTAAAGTAACAGATACTTCCTCATTAGATACGTTCTTTGAAGATAAAAAAAAAAAAAGGTCAAAGAGTTTATTTGTTATCATTACAAATTTCTTGGTCGTCAATATTGTTTGGTATGCAATAGGGAAAAATAAAACAGTAATTTAAATATGAACCTATGGAGAAGTGTTTTATCACATTCTCCACGTATTTAACAACGCGACTTTTCCATTTCAGTGTATGTTGCATTTAATAAATTTAAGCTTTACCAGTTTCTGTATTCAAACGACTCATTGTCTAATTTGCGTTCCGGAAACGTAACAGCCCGTCATTTGAAATGTATTAATTAAATGTTTATTTAAATTGCCTCATTTCTGAAATAAAAATGTGTGAAACCGGTATATAAGCTTAAACTGAAAATGTAATGACCATTTTTCACAGGCTCCCATTTCGGTGAGCTTTCCTCGCGCTTCAACTATTTTTTCTATCCTCCAAAATTTTGCTGAAAATTTTAAATTTTACAAAATTGTATTTATTTTAACATAATGATGGGTAACAATTCTGACGAATAAAAGAAAGCGATTTCTTATGGGTCATAAAGCAGCTGACGTGAAAATAAATTTTAAAAGAAAAAAGAATGGATATTTATGAGGTTAAACTCAGTATGGGAATAATCTAAATACTAGTCTAACCTTCTTAGCTGACAGAACTTTTATCTCATCTTTGATATCACTACCAGAACACTAAGTACATACAAGAGACAAAAAATAACTAAAGATATATTTTCTGTTCAGCTTGAAGTAAAGAATAACCTAATTCAAATTTACTTACGCTTTTCGAGAGAATGAAATACATCAACGGCTTAAATTATTTGCAATTAAAAAGTTTAAATTTGGATTCTAGCACCTAGCTCGTCTGTTTGTACGGCTACTACTAAACAAAATTTTCAAACAAAGGAAACTCACCAACTTAAATAAACTTTACATATAAAATGCATTACATAAATAAACATTACAAATTTTTTAAATAGGTATTGTTATTTCCGGCATAATATTTACGTTTCATAGTATATATTTAAAAATGTAACAATTAGAAGTAATGGAAATTAGATCATTTGAAGGACACATATTTTTCACATTAGTATGTATGCATTACGTTCCTTATCATATTGCACTTACTTAGTTAACAATTTAACTGTCATTTATGCTTATGTGTATTATTTTCTGTCTCGATGGAAATTTTGTATTTTTTCTTTGAGTATTATATGTCATAATTAAATACCTATGTCTGATTCAGAATCTTTATTTACAAATTTTTGCGAAGAAACTTGAAGAGAACAGCAAAATAATGCATAAAATAGCATTAATAATTTATCGTTTAGTTCACTTAGTTAACTTGGTGAGATTACTCGAAGAAGATAACTGCAGCTATGCACATATGTATCTGCAACGAACAATGGCATAATTGTTAATTTACTTAGAACCCTCAAAAGGATAGCTCATTTTAACCAAAGCAATAACACATACATTGATCTCTTATTGGCTCTTTCAGCTTAACACCTAAACACTTATAATAAAATAATTTAGCGGCAGACTTGTTTCATATTTGTTGCTCTTTCTTAACGAAGACAGATCATTAGGAGACATGTCTGCGGATTTGTGAAAGATTTCAGAATCATTCCAGCGCTTGAACAGCCTGGCAAGCACCATTACTAATTGGACCAACTGTTTTGATGGTGAACTCAAGTAAAGATAGATAACTTTTTGTGATTTATAGATTACCCAACCAATCATAAAATATTAAAAGGCACGTTAAAAGCCATAACTCAAAATGCAATTTCAACTTTAAATCAGAATCTCGAGTAGTTTGGGTTTTGAAATAACAGCTAATATGCTGCGTAGCTAATGGGCATATAATTTTTAACGTCCTACTTTTATTAAATTCGATAAAAGTATTTGACAATTTCTTTTAATTTAGAGCGAGCGTTTCTTGCAGACAGTTTTAAACAGAGTATTTAATTCCAAAAAATTGCTTTAGTGATTTTGTATGTTTATATAGGAAAATCAGCAAAGCACACTTAAATTATTTTTACTTAAAGGCAGAGATGGAGGTTTTGCCGAAGACTTTCTTAAAAGAAACCATATAGCATTACGTTAGGCATGGGAAAAATCACGAAAATATCTGCGCATCTTAGTCCGTTCACCAGGATTCGAACCCAGGTAGAATTATCAGTATTATTCAGTGATCTCACTTTTATCTTTTTCATAATATGAAAGATGATAAAGCATGCGTTCCCAGTATTTTTTACCTTTCGGATTAACTACATAGATTGCTTCTTTTGAAGGATTGAAAAGGTATAGGGTATAAATGATCCGTCTGGCTGTGATCTTAAACTGGGTACAGGATCACAAAACCCTTTTCCATCTGTAAGCACGATGCTAGAACTACTCTTTTTTTTGGGGGGGGGCGGTGTTTGAAGTTTATGTAGTCATTGTAGATTATTTTTACAGGATCCGTTTTAAGCAAATATTTCATTACATTCTTCATAATGTTAAACAGGTTTAAGCATAACATTAAACCCTTTTTATTAAATTCATCTTCCAGGTATCACATCAGTCTCATATCCATAATATCCTTAGATATTTCGTTCTTGTGTTTATTATTGATATAGTATTTATTGATATAGTATAATTTAATAATTTTATTCATTATGCTTAATAGTTCTTACGCTCCTTATCATAACTTTTGATTAACAGCGAACTTAATTAAACATCTGTGACCTAGCGAAATGGGAATTTAGATTTTTAATTATTATTATTATTTTAACTTACACCTACTGAGGTAAAATAAAAGAAAATGCCTTCAAAAAATCTTGTTGTCTTATAGTTGACAGACCCGCAGATCATATTAAGGACGCTCCAGTAGTTTTCTGCCGTTTGATTTCACTAAATCATTGTGTAAAGCCCTAAATCATTCAGTTATAGCTTTGAAAAGGAAGACTTAGAGGCATATTCGAATTAGAAAGTTTGACGACATATCCAGTTAGCAATGACACACCAGATATGTGCATTTGAAAAGCAGAAAGCAAAAATTAACAATATAAGCTACAGTGTTTGCAATTGCTGTGTATATATATATGGTAAAAAATGTACCTCATGATCTTGAGAATAAAAAGTAATTAACTTCGTGTAAAAGCTCCATATCCAAATCATTATCGTTCATATCTGTGTTATATTGCAGTTTATTTGCATGTTAGCTATTTTTATGAAGGCAAAAAAAATGAAACAATAAATAATCTCTTTTATATCTAAGCCATTTGCGTCAATAAATCGAAGTTAACTGCTAGAACTAGAGGCTTAATATTAAGTAAGCTGGGAAAACGGTAATGGAAAGGATGATGTTTTATTAAAATATTGGCATGTAATCAAACTTTATCTTGATTGCGATCACTCTCTTTTGCATGTTAATCTTTAGTCTACATCTTTGATAAAATTGCGTCGTGCGGGCTATACTGAGTGAAATAGTCACTCGATATTATGAACGCCACGTTTGAAAACGCTTTTTATTCATACAGACACAATGCGCAATAGAATAGGTAGCTTCCAATATGATCGAAAATATCTCTGAAATTTTCATAATTTTTTTTTTCCCAGTGAAGGAAATCCTAGGACTAAAATGAGAAAATTCTATAGCAAAAAAACTTGGAAAATGCATGTTAAAAGTAAATAAATGTATGAAGAAAAATAACTTTAAAACCACATAGGGGAGCTCTAGTATTTTTCACTCAACTAAATCGCCAATTAGAACCAATTAGGATAACACCTTTATCTAATGAAATGCAAATTATTTATTATTATTGTCAGTTAGATAGTTTTACGAACATATTATACCATCAAAGAAAAGCAGCCTTTTATTACTTCTGTTTAGCGCACTACAGCAAAAAGCAGGGGATGAACGGGTTGCGTTCCAATCCAATGAGTAGTCCCCCACACTATTAGTTACTTGAAAGTGTTGAAACCTAACGAAAAGGACTGGAATTACTATAATATTTTTTTATACATGTTACAGACATTTGCCTATTTTTTCAGTCGGTTCTGTTGCTAAGTCTTGACCTATAATTTGATGATTTTAGTCTCAGTTTAAATCGTGTTCTTTATTGTTAGTAAAACTACCGCAATGGATGTTTGAATATTTTTAATTTATCTGGAATTTGAAATTAATCAGTTTATGTAACATATTTCGTAGGTTCAATAAACTTCACTGAAAAGCTAGCTCTGGGACAGAATGGACTGAGGAGAAAGTGGGTGGTAATCCATTCAGCCTATAATAAAACTTTCTGATAAATGCCATAGTAAAGCGCAAACACACAATGATAATAATAATAGACATTTAGGGGGCTTTCGCTACACTGTACTGGCAAATGCACTCAACGTCTGATATATACTGGATGCTTCAAAGCCTTATATGACCTGTTAAATACTTATTTGAGTCATAGATTCATGTAGACCATTACAGGCGAACGCGTGCGCATAAAAACCATTCACGGAGGCTCCACGTAGGGTTCATATTTAGTATCATTGTTTTGGAATCTTGTGACATACACGGCCTTTGCGTTATTAAATAGCAATGATAATGTCACTCTACTGGCCTACACAAATGAGTTTTTTCTAACTGCCAAAGAACAGAGTTGCATACGAAACAAGACCAAAACAACGCCTGAAGAGAATATCTGTATGGGCAAACGAGCATAAATTTATAATATACAGTGTCAAAACGATATGAATACTCATCATTTCGGAAAAGAGGTAGACACAAACTCCTTCTATTAAAGCT